GAAAGCAGCGAAAATCATCCTAGGATGCTCCAAGTGCACAAGTAATGCAGCCGTCAGGGTAGAAATGGGGGTCCAATCCCTACGATCAGGAAGAGACGCGAGGAAGTTGACATTACAGTATTGCATGTGCGGGATGGGAGAGGAGGGGTTGCCCAGAAGTGTATGGGAGGCGAAGTGGGCAAACAAAAAGAGGGGTAGACAACCCACGGAATGGGTCAAGGTTGTAGAGGACGTATGGAAGGGGCTCGACATCGACGAAGATGAAACGCTGGAAACGGAGGGTCTACAGGGGTTCAAGGAGAAGATATCTGTTGCTTGTGCCGAGAGAGAAGAACATAATCTAAGGAAAGAATCCAAGGATAAGGAGGGTCTGGAAGTGTACGGAATGTTGAAGGAAGGAGTAGGGTTCAAGGATTACCTTCATGGACCAATGGATACAAGGGCAAAGCTTAAAGTCAAATTCAGGACCGGGGACATCGGCCTTCGAGAACGTCGACGAAGGCATGGGACAGTAGACGTCGTCGACGACAAGTTCAAATGTGATTGCGGCTTCGAATGCGAAGACCGTGTTCATGTAGTCGCGGAATGTCAGTTGTACGAAAAGGAGAGGGAAGTGTACATGACTGAGGTGGGAAAAATACAAGGGAGGTACAGGGAGATGTTTGAGGCATGGAATAGAGAGGAGACGACGGTAGCTGTACTGGGGAGTAGGAGGTGGGTTGAAAAGGCGGGAAGGGATATCGGTAGGATAGGTAGACTAGGGAAGATTTTGAGCCACCTTTGGCAAAGTAGGAAGGAACGATTGGCCATCGGTGATCGGTCCTGTGGGAACGATGCTCCGTCCTCTCGAGGACGCGTGATCAACGGTCTAACTGCTATGGCATGCAAAACATAAGAGTACGACCCCTCCGCCCCCGTCCCGTTTCCGCTCATACGGCCTTACCCTCACCTCGAAAGCCAGAGGAAGTGCCTGCCGCTGGATTTCCGTGGCGTGCGTCCATCCCAGCTGCGCCGCGGCCTCGCACAGCGGACCCGTCACCCCGAGAGACTCGAACGACGCCTTGATGTCCTCCGGCGGGGGCTCGTCCGCCTCCGGCCCCTTCGGCCGCTTCTCGCCGCTACTGTTGTCTTTGTTCTTCTCTACGCCGCGGACACGCGTACCCCGGTCTCCAGTTTTTTCCTCGGCAGCGGCTTCTTCGTCGTCGCTACCGCTTCTGCTCCCCTCTTCCCCGCCTTCCTCCCCCTCCTTTTCTTCTTCGTCGCTACTGCTATTGCTTCCCTCTTCCCCGCTCTCCTCCTCTTCATCAGCACCCCTGTTGTTCCCAACGGCTCTCTCCGCGACGGCTTTAGTACCTGCGTCTGCCTTCGCCGCCGCCGCTCCGTTGCTAACTCTCTCGGTTTCTCCTCCTTGCTCATCCGAAAAGTTCCCCTCCGATTCGCCATCTTCCTCTTCCTCGCTGCTGCCGCTGCTACTGCCATCCTCCTCCTCCTCCTCCTCCTCCTTCGTCCCCTTGACACCACTGCCGCCCTGTCCGTGAGGCACGCTCCGGGCCCCGCCGCCGTCAGACTCGTCATCGCCGCTGTCATCTTCATCATCATCGCAGCTGGATTCTTCCCCTGATCTATCGCCATCGCTCAAGGCTTCGTCGCTTCCCGCGCCACTATCCTTCACGGCCGCGGCTGGTGTCGTTCTTTTCGACTCGCCGGCGCTGCTCCCGTCGCTGCGAAGCTTCGGCACAGCCACCGATGGTTTCTCGACTGCCTTGCTGCTGCTGCTGCTGCTGCTGCTGCTGTTGCCAGCACCAACAGGCGGTTTCTCGTCTCTCGAAGCAGTAGGAGACTTGACGTTCACGGCGCCAGGCCCAGCAGCTGCCTTCGTCCCAGCAGGCTTGGTTGCGTCACCAGCAGCAGCAGCTGGAGGCTTGAGGGTCGCGGCAAGCCTTGCCCTCAGCTTGTCACTCATCGCGCCGATCTGCACGCGGTCCACGTAGTACCCCACACCGGCCTTCCCCCGCGAGAAGAAGTAGCCGAGCTTACGCCCCGAAAACTTGTTCTTCTTGACGAACTTGGGCAGCGAGGAGAGCGCCTCTGGCAACGGCGGCGGCGGTCGGGGCTTGAAGGCCACCCTTCCAGCAGCAGGCGACTTGCCACCTTGCCGCTGCTGCTGCTGCTGCTGCCTGTTGCCCTTGGAGAAGCTGCGGCCGCCACCGCCACCTCCACGCAGGCCCTTCTTCTTCTGGAAGCCGCGCCCCATGGTGCTGCTGCCGTACCAGCGGTGCTCCCTGGCCAGATATGGGCTCCTGTGTGGTTGATGTCCTTGGCCCTTTGGCCCTTGGCCGTACGCCGTACGCCGTACGTGGAGCCAGTGGTTCAGGAAATGGAGTTCAAAAAGGTTCAGGAAGGTTTTATTGGTTCTCAAGAGAAAGTGCGGTGGAAACGGGACCGCTCGGGATCGAGCATTTTTTTACGGAGCCAAGCTGGAAGGTAGTGTGCCAGCAAAGACAAGGAGCTTGAGCTGAGGGCCTTAGCAAGCAACGCCATCTTCCGAATGAATTGGACGTTGTATGCCATGTCGTCTCCCCCTTGCGCGTTCCCTGCTGGCGCGGCGGCAGGCAGGGTTCTTCCGGCGGTGGGATTGACGGCAGCACAAAGCCCGAGTTCCTCTCGGGTAGCCCAGAACGCGATGATGGCCGCCGCCCCGGCCGAGAAGAGGACGTGCCTGCACCCGGGTTGCAGCACTCGGCCCAAGTACGGGGACAAAGAGACGGACTCGACGGACTACTGTACACGGCACGCGAAGGCCTGGATGGTGAACAACACCAGCAAGCGGAGGTCCTGTCATGAGCCCGGGTGCCTTACTCAACCATCGTACGGGCTCGAATCCAGCAACCGGCCCGAATACTGCGCTCGACACGCTCCGGACGGCCTCGTCAACGTCCGGTCCAAGAGGTGTGCCCACCCAACCTGTACCAGGCAACCCAGGTTCGGCGCCGAGGGCAGCAAGAGGCCGGAGTTTTGCGCGCGACACTGCGCGGAAGGCATGGTCGACGTCTGCAACAAGAGGTGCGGCCACCCTGGCTGCAAGACGCAAGCAAGGTACGGAGCGGCCGGCAGTAAGAAGCCTGAGTACTGTGCGGGGCACTCACATGACGGGATGGTCGACGTCCTCAACAAGCGGTGCGGCCACCCGGGCTGCAAGACGCGCGCCAGCTTCGGGAACCAAGACAGCAAGAAGGCCGAGTTCTGTTCGAGGCACTCGCGCGAGGGCATGATTAGCCTCCTCAACAAGCGGTGCAACCACCCGGGCTGCAAGACGCGCGCGAGCTTCGGGACGAAGACCAACAGGAAGCCGGAGTACTGTGCGCGTCACTGCGCCGAAGGCATGATCAACGTCCGGTGCAGCAACAAGTGCGGCTACCGGGATTGCAAGACGCGAGCGAGCTACGGCTTGGAGAGCAGGAGGATCGCCGAGCTGTGTGCAAAGCACGCTAGACAAGGTATGATCAACGTGTACTCCAAGAAGCGCGGCCACAACCTGGACGACAGTGGTGGTGGGGATGGTGGTGGCGGCGGCAGCGCCGGCAGCGCCGGCGGTGGCTCTGAGCATGAACCGTCCGGGGATAGGGGTCGCGAAAAGCGGAAGCTGGTAGAGGCCGGGGCCTGTCAACATCATCGGCGGAAGGAGGGGGCATCGGCGGCGGGAGCGGCGGCAAGAAACAAGCCTCCGTAGAGAACGACCGCTACTACTGCTGCGTTGAAGTTGAAGTTTGGGAAGAAGGAAGGGACACGTCTCGACGGCAGGGGTGACGCGGGGGCGCGCGGGGTGGACGGGTTCGCGGGGGGAAATACGGCGCGAGCAGGAGAAGCGAGGTGCGGCGGCTGCGCGGTGAATGCCCGGAGCGTGAGAAAGGAAGGGGTATGGGTCAAAGGCAGATGGAGGCGTTGTGGAAGAGAAGTGAAACCCTGGGGTGTTCGTGGTCGGTGAACTCCGCGNCCCCCCCCCCCCCGTCAGACATGGACACATCTTTCATGTGGTACTCATGGCATGTGCTGTGTTCTATACCCAGGAGAGTGGTGCTATCTCCTCCACATACCTTCGGCTCTCGCACGTAGCGCAGCCACCCGCGGCAGCAAGGGTGGAAGGGGGAGCGCCCAAGTGCACAATTTGGGGTCTGCGGTCGGTGACACGCACAGATGAACGGTAACAGTGTAAGATAGGCTCTCGGGACACTCCACCCCTCTGTACAAAGCCAAAACAGGAGGGGGGGGGGGG